AGGACGGCCTGGATCCTTGAGCCCCCTCCTTGGCACCCGCAGGCCTGCGTCGCCATGGGCTCCACCGCTGCCCCGGAGGGAACGCTGGGCTACGTCCGCGAGTTCACTCGCCACTCCTCCGACGTGCTCGGCAACCTGAATGAGCTGCGCCTGCGCGGGATCCTCACTGACGTCACGCTGCTGGTTGGCGGGCAACCCCTTCGAGCTCACAAGGCAGTTCTTATCGCCTGCAGGTTCGAGGGGTGGCTCAGGGGTGGGGTGGGACCAAATGGAAAAGGGGCGGAGCCCGAAGGTCTTTGGGAGGGAACCCGAAGCCAAACCTTCCAGAAGCAGGAGGCGGGGCGTCCGCGAATTGGGGGCGGGATGAGAGTGGGGGAGGCGGGGCTTTGTACAGGGGCGCGTGTCTCCCTTGATTCCCCAGCCCCTAACATGACCTATCTTCTCTCTCTCCAGTGGCTTCTTCTATTCAATTTTCCGAGGCCGTGCAGGAGTCGGGGTAGACGTGCTCTCCCTGCCCGGGGGCCCCGAAGCCGGAGGCTTTGCTCCTCTTCTGGACTTCATGTACACTTCACGCCTACGCCTCTCTCCGGCCACTGCACCAGCCGTCCTTGCGGCCGCCACCTACTTGCAGATGGAACACGTGGTCCAGGCATGCCACCGCTTCATCCAGGCCAGGTGAGGGAGCCCCAACTCGGTGTTCCTCATGGGTGAAGTGGCATCCCAGGTGTCAAGGGCAAAGGCCAAGATTAGGAAATAGCACTAATGTCCATCGCACTTTTCTCAGCTATGAACCTCTGGGCATCTCCCTGCGGCCCCTGGAGGCAGAACCCCCCACGCCCCCAACGGCCCCTCCACCAGGCAGTCCCAGGCGCTCCGAAGGGCACCCAGACCCACCTACTGAGTCTCGCAGCTGCAGTCAAGGGCCCCCCAGTCCAGGCAGCCCAGACCCCAAGGCCTGCAACTGGAAAAAGTACAAGTTCATCGTGCTAAACTCTCAGGCCTCCCAAGCAGGGAGCCTGGCAGGGGAGAGGAGTTCTGGTCAACTTTGCTCCCAGGCCCGGCTCCCCAGTGGAGATGAGGCTTCCAGCAGCAGCAGCAGCAGTGAAGAAGGACCCATTTCCGGTCCACAGAGCAGGTACAGAAACTGGACCCCCCAGAATTTGTAGAGGCAGCCTCAGCTCAGAGGCACAGCCATTGGGCCTGGGTGGTCAGGAACAGGGAGTGAAGGAGTGGGCTTCAGAGATACCAGCTCACCTTAGGGAGTTGGCCAGAGGTCAGGCTTACTCTGTAGGGTGGGACTTGGGCAGTGAAATTGGATATGGCACATTGGTCCATAGTGGCTCACCTCCAGAGGGTAGGCCTATGGCAACAAGTCTTCCAGGGGAGAACCCCACCACCGCCGCCGCCATATAATCTCTCCTAACCCTTTTCTCTGGGCCTTGACATCTGCCTAGGCTCTCTCCAACTGCTGCCACTGTACAGTTCAAATGTGGGGCTCCAGTCAATACCCCCCATCTCCTCACACCCCGGGCTCCAGAGACCACTGGGTCACACTCTGGGCGGGCTCATCCACCACCAGGTAAGAGCCCCTCCTTCTACCCCCTTCTTGGATTTTCTCCCATGGCTGCTCAAGGCCAGTTTAAAGGCCCAGTCCATTTCCTGCTAATTAGAATCACCTAGGGAGCTTTTAAAAATCCCATTGCCCAGGTCACACCCCATAGATCAGAAAGTCTGCAAGTGGGAGCCTGGCATCAGTACTTTTTAAAGGTTCCAGTGAACAGCACTGTTTGGGAACTTAGGGCCTATTTCCATCCAGGCCTGAGTGGTCAGCCCAGGGCTTGGCAAGGCCTCTCTGGCAGGCTGTCATCCAGAGTGGTGCAAGAGAGGAGAGAGAAACAGAAACTTCCACCCACGAGTAGGGGCCTCCACCTACCACCACCGCTACTGGAGTGATTAGCAGAGTACTCTGGAATCAGACAGACATGGAGTCAGATCTTGGCTTGTCCTCTCAATAACCATGTGACCCCAAGCAAGTCAAATGAGCCCCAGAAGCCTTAACAGTAAATTGGGAAAAAGAAAACCCGCTACCGTGTGGTTTAAGGATTCACTGGTATTGTCATTACCCACCACCCTTCCCAGGAAGTGAATTTTTCAGCTGCCAGAGCTGTGAGGCTGTGGCTGGGTGCTCATCGGGGCTGGACCCCTTGGCTCCTGGGGATGAGGATAAGCCCTACAAGTGTCAGCTCTGCCGGTCTGCCTTCCGCTATAAGGGCAACCTGGCCAGTCACCGCACGGTGCACACAGGTAGGGGAGGAGCAGGGAGAGGGCCCTGGCCTTGGTGCCCACAGCCGTCCCCTGGTAGAGTCCCTGACCTCCCTTCCTCCCTGCCTCCAGGGGAAAAGCCCTACCACTGCTCCGTCTGCGGAGCCCGCTTTAACCGGCCGGCTAACCTGAAAACGCATAGCCGCATCCATTCGGGAGAGAAGCCCTATAAGTGTGAGACGTGCGGCTCGCGCTTTGTACAGGTACGGCGCCAGTTTCAGAGATGGCTCGCATTCAAATTTCCAAGAGGGCGAGGTGGGCCGAATGGGGAGGGTTCTGTCCCTCCCATTGGCGCGGTCTGAGGTCCCCTCCTCTCCCAGGTAGCGCATCTGCGCGCGCACGTGCTGATCCACACCGGGGAGAAGCCCTATCCTTGCCCCACCTGCGGGACTCGCTTCCGCCACCTACAGACCCTCAAGAGCCACGTTCGCATCCACACGGGAGAGAAGCCTTACCACGTGAGTACCCGAGCTGGCTTGGCCCAAAGCCTTGGAATTACCTTCCGTTTACCGAGGGGCGTAGCTCTGAAAGGAGCCGGCCCTGCGGTTCTAGGACCTCTTCGAGGTGGGCGGTGTCCTTGTGAGTAAGGGGCGGGGGCCGAGGGTAGGGGTGGCAGGTATAGAAGTTAGGCTCCTGGACGGGGCGCTACCCTCCTGGAGAGGAGCTGACGGATGGAGAAAGCTTTGCTGAAGAGGGCGGGGCGTAGATCCTAGGCCTTCCCCTGAGGATTTGGGAGCATGTAGGGACTAAAGAGCTTCTCTAAGATAGAGTGCTGGGCGGTCCTCCTTTGCTCAACACCTAAAAGGTGGTCGTGGTTGGGGAGGGACCTGACTCAGCTGTCCTCCGACAGTGCGACCCCTGCAGTCTGCATTTCCGGCACAAGAGTCAACTTCGGCTGCATCTGCGCCAGAAACATGGAGCTGCTACCAACACCAAAGTGCACTACCACATTCTGGGGAGGCCCTAGCTGAACGCCTGCCCAGGCCCCACTCCCTTCCTGGAAGACAGGAAAGCTGCGGCTCACGCCTGGGTTCGTTGTCAGGCTTGGGCATAGGGGTGTGCAAGGCCCCTCGATGTCAGCGACTTGCCACCACCTTAATTTCTCACTGGGGAGAGCAGGGGTGGCAGATCCCAGCTTGATCTGCCTTTGTTTTGCTGGTCAAAACCTCTTCCCCACGATCAAAATTGTTTCTGAGGAGAGAACAAGCTAGGAGCTGGAGGAGGGGAGAGACTGGAGGCCTGGTTTCCACCTGCAGCCCCCATCTCATTCGGTTTATCTGTAAATATAATTTATTGAGGCCTTTGGGTGGCACCAGGGCCTTCATTCTATTGCATTTCCCATGTCCCTCTTCCACAAGTGTGATCAAAAGTGACCTGAAACACAGAATGTGAGGTCATGGCTCTGCCGGCAGAGATTAGCACTTGGCTGCCTCCTTTGGCGTGAGTGTTTTATATTATTATTGTCATAACTTTTATCTTTAGAGTTGTTCTTTTCCTATTTGCTTGTTGGTTTGTTTCAAATGGAGAAAGGGGTTCTCTGTGTCCTACCCCTCCAATTCTAGGTCTGGAAAGGTTATTTGTTCTAGGGCAGCTCTGGGAACATGTGGGTTTCTGGAATTGGGTCAGGAACCCTCTCTGGTATTCTGGATGTTGTAGGTTTTCCAGCAGGCCAGCACTGGATATAGACTTTTTCTGTTCTTCAGGGGTTACAGGAACCTATGGTGAGCCTGAAGCGGAGGTAATAAGTACCTCCTAGAGGCAGTGGGTGTGGTGTGGGGCCTTTGTCAGGCTTGGAACTTGGGGGATGATTACAGAGGCTTTCTCTTATGTTCCTAACTGTCCCATTCGTCTGGTCACCTAGGTCTGGCTCCACTGTGTCTGTTTGATAGAACTCACCCAGGATCTTGAGTTGGGCCCACAATCCTCCCACTAGGGCCCATTCTTAGTAGCACTGAGTTGATCCCTCCATGCAGGAGAGACCTGAAATTCCTCACCAGAGATGATGCAATCTTTTCTGATTCTGCCCGGTCTCTTAAGAATGTTATGACCTAGGGGAGAATTATGAAACCCTTTATCTTGACTAAACAGTAAAGAGTATGACTCATCCTTTACTGCAGAGGTATCTGGGTTTGAATGTTCCTTGGGGTTCTACCTGAGATGAACCTCTTCTTCCTTTAGTAGGTTTTCGGACATCTTCTGGCAAGTGTCCAGATTCCAGAAACTTCTTTGCCTCTAGAAGTCACAGCTGCTTGGTAACTTTCTTACCTTAGAAAAGCTGGGTCTGTGACCTGGTCTTCCTGTCACTGCATTCCTGTCTGGAACCAGTGAAAGCACTAGAACCTTCCACAGGGAGAGAAAAGAGGTTGAGTTCCACTATGGATTTTCTGTAGTTTGGGATTATGATCGGGATTACTGTTGGGATTAGAGATTTAGAAGATTTAAAAGACTGACTGATGGACCCCTCTAGTTGACCAAGTATCCAGGTAGGATTAAGAGGTTGGTTGAGGGGCAAAGTCTCTGGTGTAGGCCAAGTAGGTAGAAGGTTAGGAATGGGTTGCTTCTTAACTGTGTGGAATGTCTGGAATGTTAGATGATACTCTGAAGCCTTGATTTACAGTCCTGCCCCTGTTGCCCTGGGGGATTAGGGACATGGGGTGGAAGGTCAAAAGCACTTTGAATTTGCAGGGTGGAGGTTCCTCAAGACAGGTCAGTACTAGTGGCTGTCACTTGGGGACTGGTGAGAGAGCTACTCTTCCCCCTCTTTGCCTCTTACTCCCCACTGCAGAATTGAAGGAGGTAG